CAAGTCAAGTTTTATCGTTGCGTTGCCGCCCTACAAATAATTTTGCAATATGAAGTCGACCACACGTTCATTATTATAGCGCACTATTTTTCCTACAAATGGAACTGAGTTGGATATGCATAAATTATTATTTAAATGCATCGTGTAGTATTTAATAAAAATTGAACATTTTTGGTCCCCCCTTTGGTAAACGCTGCATGTCTGCTTGTCTCAAGAATAGGAATAGGGGTTTCACTTTGGCTTCAAACTCCCTTAAAATAAATTGATAGAAATTTTAAGAATTACAGGAGTGAATAACACCAGCTAGAGAGAGAGCGCCGAGAACGCATTTGTTAACAAAATTTAAACATTTTCCTATTAAGTAATTGTTGGGGAATATACATACAAGTACAAAAAGAATGTGAATTTCATACTTCCTTTAAAATGTGTATACTGCCAATAAATGATTGAAATTGTGATTGAATCAATACACGAGTATGTATTTGTAGGAAATGTTTGGCTATATGCACTGACCGTCTTTTAATTGATTTGTCTCTGTGGATAATTGAGTTTTTAAATAATAAAATCAAGCATGCTCCTATTAACAGCCAAGAGCTGGGTACTTCGTGCGTAGTTTGAATCGTGCTTGGTTATTTTTAGCGGTCTTCTGGCTTAAATTGCGCAGCACGCCCGACTTGTACTTGGATCACTATTTCATTCGGCCAACACATTTTGTAAATTGGTCAGCAGCTATTCATAGGATATGTAAAAATAGACCTGTCAATAAAATTGTGGTTTTTTTTTCTAAAAATACCAACAAATAGCTACAATAGTGTTATTTTGTAAGAGCGGTACCAATTGCCAATGCTATTGTCGTTGTTGTTGTTGTTGTTGCTGCGCCAACTTTGACACCCAAGCCTTTGGCGTGTTTGATTGCAGCGGCGTCGGCCGTTGTTGGTCGGTTGTACAATAGAACCAACCGCAGCAACATTCAATTGTAGACGTTTATTTCCCCTACAATTACCAATTTGTGACGTTTATTGTGGGTGCTGTAAATACGGCAAATACGAGAGATATACCTACACATACAAATAATTCTAAACTGTTTCGAGCGTCGCCTTTATTGACAGCCGTGGCATGAAAGACAGGCAGGCCATGAAATATTATCGCTGGCCAGCATTTAGCTTAATACGCGGTTTATGGCACACACCAGACAAAAACGGCCTTTTGTTTGCTTTGATGAACGGAGTGTCTGCTGCCTCCGAGAGCTGACTCTATTGGAAACTCCGTCAGAATTTGAGCTTGTTTGAGGATTTTGTATAACAACATTTAATTAAAATTTACGAGTACACATGATTCAGTTCTTTTTTGTACGTATATTGCCTGGCTCGCTATCTGGCTATCTGTCCGCCTCACTACCTCACTGGTTGGCTGGCTGGCTGGCTGGCTGTCTGGCTGGCTAGGTGGCTGGCAGCCGGCCTGTAGTTGGCTTTGTTTATTTGTTTAGCATGAACAAAATGTATAGCAGGAAATGTGTATGTACGTATACTATACGCTGGAAATACCCAAGTGATCTAATTTGTACAGCTGTGAGGATGTGAATTTGCTTAAGGTAAATGCAAAAGTAACAAATAAAAAGCAAATAAATCAAACGAATTGGCTACCAAATGCAAATCGTTTATTTTTAAATGGAAATTTTTTGCATTTTTTTGCATTAAAGCATCTTAAATGAGTGGGAGCTTAAAGTATCGACAGACATTCCATATAGTCTGAAAAGAAATTGACATTGGGCGACCTTTTTCGTGAAATTTATGATACGGAACAAGGGCCATGTAAGATAACTATAGTCATAAAATTTAATGCGCAAATAGTTTTCAGAACTATATATAAATTATAAGTAGGTATTTTCAAATATAGGCAAAAAGAGAAGCTCAAAATAAGAAAGGCATCCCGACTTTTAAACACACTCGGATCAATTTAGTTGTTTGCTTTCTTAAGAATGAAAATCCCTTCAAAAAGTGCGCTTTGATTTTATCTCCCACTCATCACAAATAAAGAGGGGTGATTTTTTGTAATAGAGTGTATTTAGAAAATTGGCCACAATATGGATTGAATTGCCCTTATCTTATATTATTTGATTGAATCTTTATTATGTGCTTAATCAATTTAATAGTTTTTAGCCAATAAGAATAATGCCCAAATAAATAATGCCTCTCACAATCTAGTTATCTAATCGGTATTTCAAAATGCTTTACAAACCATATGTCGGCGTTAAAAATGTAAATTTTGTTTACTATTTGTACATGAATAAAGCTCATGCTTTTATACTAGATTAATGGTTTTAATTAACAAATGCTGTTGATAATGATGTGCATTTTTAAAAGTTTCTTTAATAAATAAAACCATTTTGAAAACCAAACTTATTTTACGTATTTTCCATTATTTTTAATTTCATTAAGCTTAATTACATTTGTTTTGAAACTTTGAAGACGATTTAATCAACCATTTGGATGTTGGTAACTCCTGTTGACTATAGGTCTGCCTCACTCATCTACAAAAAATTAAGCTTTCAACCGATAATGAGTAAAAATGTGAATGCATCTACATTCGAATAACTGCTTTTAAAATATCAGCCACTTACCAGTTTTTATCTTAGTTGCATCGATTATCCAATTTTTGGTTATGTCTATTATTATATCTATCTACATACTTATACCAAACTGGCCCGTATAAATAGCTGTAGTACTTAGTTTATTCTAATATATTGTGGGCCACTTTTCTTAACTTTTCTCTGCATTAGTTTATTATAATATTTTGTTGAATTTTTCTTTTCAATGCATTGCTTTATATTCCGAGAAAATCCATTGCCAGGTAGAAGGACAATCTACGTATCGACTCGTAGTCTGTTAAAATAATAGGTTTTTAGCACTTAGTGATATGTTTCACAAAAATAATAATGTTATCTGAATCGTTTTTGGGGCAGCACTCATTTAATTTCTATTTGATTCAAGCTTGATGCGCAAATTGAAATTCTTCGATTCTAAGAGTGTATGGGTACGACATGGTGACAATTTAGGTATGTAAATGGCTTTCAACTCGACAAGCCTCCAACACAGGCCAGCACAGCTGACCATAACACTTGCCATTGTTAATGGGCTATTATTAGCTGTTGTGCGGCCGCCTTGTAGGCAAAAGGTACTCATATTTATGTGTGCATTTTAAAAACGCTCAGATGTATTTTATTTATGATTATTTGATTGAGTCATTTGCTGCAGCAGCGGTGCGAAGTTGAATCACTTCTGCTCTTGCGCAAACAATCGATAAATTGGCCTTCAGAATTGGCCACCTTTGGGTAATTCACCCGAAATTGGTGAACTTTTGCAAAAAGTACAAATACACAGCTTACAAAGCATTTTAATAATATGTACATTACGCAAGTTATAAACTAGAAAACTAAATAAATAGCGGCCATAAAAATTTGTGTAGTAGCAATTAACACTATGACGATAAAAGCAACAAAGCTAGGCAACTAAGAAGCAGAAGAAAAAATCACTCATACGCCCCACTGTCGAACGATTAAAACATGAAAATTGTAATAACATCGTGACTAGCTGGAATTATCGCGTAGTCGTTGACGTTATTGCCATTGGTATTGATTGTTATTACTGTTGTTGTAGTTTGAACTGCATAAAATTAACAAAGGTTGTCATAGTGTTCACTGTTCGTTGGCTTGAGTCAAAATTGCATCTTGGAAAATCCAGTATGAGTTGTTTTATTAATAATAGGCACAATGAAAATAGATACAAATAACTGAATATGTATGACTGTATACTCGTATATGGACCCAATTGCAGCCCCCTTTCACACTCTTTTGTGACACTGTATCCAGGCTGAAAACCTGAGTTGGGCCTGGCCATTAAGCTTAATGAAAAACCAGTTTCTCACAGTCTCGCACTTGAAGGTAGAAAAAGATAAACGCCCGCAGCAATCGCCGCACAAAATGCGCAAATTTATTTATTGCAGCTCCTATTTTATGATACTGTGAATTAAAATAAAAAAAATAAAAGCAAAAAACAAAACAACGGCAAGAACAGAGTGACGATGGCAGTAAAAATTAAAAGCACACCACTGTGCGGAAAGCGGCACAGAGATATGGATAGGCATACAGACAGAGAACGCTTTGATTTCGATCTAGTCATTGTTTGTTGCTCATAAAAAAAAGCACACGGCCCTCGCTGTAGTTGTTGTTATTGTTTTTGTATTGTTGTTACTTTTATCGCGCGCACAGGCTCGAGAGTCCACTAGGTTCAAGCTGTGAGCGTGTAACCGCCCTTCGCCTGTCCCTGGTAGTGGGCTGGGTGGTGGGGGGTAGGAGTAGGGGTAGCTGGTCGCGAGTAAATGGAAGCTGAAAGCTAGAAACGATCTGCGTCTCATTTGGGCTTTGGGTTTTTTCTGCATTTAGTTTTCGTGCCGTCAGCGTCAGCGGCGACACAGCTTGGGCCTTAACGTGATAAATGAGAAAATCAATGCTACTTTGGCTTTAGTACTCGTCTTGGCGGCTTCGCGTTGTGAGCACAAGCTGTGAGCGTTTCTTATTGAAGCTTTTTTCTTCGCTGTGTTTTCTGTTTTCATTGTCTAGGGACCGGCGGTGGCAGTCAAAAGCTGGCGACAGACAGCGTTGTGCTTAAACAAGACAAGTTTTGCTTGGATTTGGATTGTGGAATTTAAGGTTAACATTAAAAACAAATCAAAATCTCATAATGCCATAAATGCCACAAGTGCTGCTATAGTTGTTATTGTGTTTAGTCATAGCTGCTGGGCTGTAAACACAAAAAGAGTTCAAATTAGAAAGGTGGCAAGACAAAAAATACACACACATAGTATACTACGCGTATGTGTGTGTGGACATAAAATTTAAGTAATTAATAAAAGCTGGCGCCAGGGCCCGTGACTATTAGCGAGTATGTATGAAGCTGAAGATAGTTTTATTCTGACACTTGCCTCTTCTCCTTTTGATTTAGATGCCGCCAGCCAATGCGCCACAGCAGCTTCAGTTCAAACTCGGCGCCGCAGTTACACATCAGTTTTTAGCTCCAAGCGACCAGTACTCGGCCTATGCGGACAACTTTGATTTGTCATTGCTGCCATATAGCCAGGAGGCCAGCATACCTACAACTGTCTATCAATATAACGCATCACCTGCTCCGCAGATCAAAATTGAGAGCGCCTGGGACTGTTTGCAAGAGTCGCAAATCATTAAGCAGGAGCAGCCAACGGCAGCGGTCTCCTGTGCCACATCCAGCAATCAGTTGATTCCACCACCGCCAGCCTATCCATACAGCGCCTACCCCTCACCCCAGTCCAGTCCTCTTCAATCCGAATTCGCTTCGTTTGCTTACGGTGGCAAATATAACGCTGGTTACGATTCATTGAGCTCGTCACGTACCTCTTTGTATGCATCATCGCCTTGTCCCTCACTGGATGCCACTTGCATCAAGCAGGAGCTGCATATTTTGCCACCTTCACCGCCCGAATCCAATTGCGAGACGCCCTCGCCCCGCTCGGCTACCAGTGAGAGCATCAAGGCGGAGCCCTTGGATGCAGACGTTGAGAGTTTCATCGACTTGAACGCATTGCTTCAGCAACAGCAGCATCATCAGCAGTCGGACATAAAGCCCGATCATCAGCTGCTGCGCGAGTGCTTAGAGGACACAACATTCCAGAGGAAGCACAATCTTAAGCCTTTGGCACTGGAGTCTTTCATCGGCGGTTTGGCTGAGGTACGCGGAGATTTCGAACCAGTCATATCGCTGGCCCTGGAGCATGCCAAGCGTGAGGCGGACGCCATATGCGCCCAGCTGCATATATCGCAGGGTAAGTGGCAGAATAAATTATAGCAGAGTATATTGGGATTACGAAGTTATTTAAATTGAATTTATTTATTACAATATTCTTGAGAAACAATCGAAGCATATAAACGAATCAAGGTTGTTCAAAATTTCTTGGAAAAATAGTTGAATCTTTATGCTGTCCACTTCAAAATATCAAAATAAATTCATTCTCAGAAAAGAAGACACCATTGTGAGCACCACAAAGAGCTGGTCAGATATGGAACTAAATTAAACAAAATATGTATAAAGAAGAATTACTTTGGTTGTTTGCCATTACCTCAGATGGAATAATGTCTAAAGTTCTTTGAAATTGGTTAAATCACATTTATTTTTACATTTCCCATTGAATGTGTTTTTTGAAGAGTATGAGGAATATGACGGAAATATTGAATAGCTTTCTGTACACATTTTTATGATGAACTATTTGATCATAACTCATTTGGTGATTGACTTGTTTGTGCTTTCCTGTAGATCCCAACGCTTGGTCGCCGGCGCAAGTGCATGCTTGGCTACGCTCTACCCTGGCACAGTTCAAGCTACCCCAGGCCGTTGACTTGGAGCTGCTATTTAGCGAAAATGGAGCTGCTTTAGCATTACTCAGCGAGGAGGAATTCGTGCGTCGTCTGCCCCAGGTAAGCCACACTCATAAACATATTAAGCCTTGTGCAAGCGGCTAATTTAACCTAACTAGGCAGTATTGTTGTTGTGGCATATTACAAAATCGAAAAAGTCAATAAAAATAAAACAATAATACATACATACAATGCAAATGCCATAAGCGAGGCAAACATAAGCAAAGCAAAGCGAAGCAAGACGAAGCGTGGAATGGCATGGCTTGGTATGGCAACTTAAAGACCAATCAATACATATGAATTGAATTGAATTTTGCTTACGAAGGAAACAAATGAGTGCGCGAGCGAGTGAACGAGCGAACGATTGAACGAACTGTAAAGAAAGAAAAACAAAAATGAAACAAGTTTCGTAACTGCCGATGACGTCATTGCGCACGCTGAATCGAATAGAGCAGAGCAGAAGAGAGTGTAGTGGAGAGAAGAGGCTGTAGTGGGCTACATTGTGACAGACTCAGAGCTTGGACTACAGAAGAAAATAAATAAAAAAGAGTAAAATACAAAATCAGAAAGCAAACGCCAAATGCCAAACCTGTTGCCCGCCATCACCATCAGCAACATTAACATCAATATCAACATAAAAAAAAATTAGGCGCACTTGGGGTAATGCGTTTAACTACTCCACATGCGCTCTCCGATCACTTAAAAGGTTCCAACTATAGTATCTATATACGAGTATTGCCAATATACCAATGATTACGCACAAATTAAAAATTAAAACTGTCGGTGATGGGAGGGGGAAAAAATACAGCAGTGTAAACAAAAGACTTGAGCAACGAACGCGCATGGCCAGCGAATGAACGAATAACAAACAATTGAAATCAGAGATTGGACGCAGTGGCAGTGGCAGTGACAGAGACAGAGACAGCAGTCGAAAAATTAGTAACCGTGGTCATGGCTGTAAAGGTGAAAGAATGTGTGAAGGTTGTTTGGAGAAACTGCAATGCCAGTCAGCCACTGGAAGAAAACATTTCGATTATTACGAATGGCGGCTGCGGCGGCGGCGGCGGCGGCTCATATGACAGCATTGTGGCTGGCGGTGGGTTGGTGGGGCACTGAGGCAGAGCGCCTCGCAGCGTGGTCTTGTAAATGTAAAAAGTAGCAAGAGTAGCAACAACAACAGCAACAACAAGAACAACAACAGCATTGGCGGCACTCAAAATGAGCCAACGACCAACGACGACATTGCAAGGTGAAAGTAAGTCGACATTGTTGTTGCTTTTTGTGTACGAGTAGTTGATGCCAGCTAGTTGCTGCTCGGCTTCTTGTTGTTGCTGGTTTTTGTAGCTGTTGTTGTTGTTGGATTTGCTCTTATTTTAAGCAGACAAATGGCAATGCAGCGTGTCTGCTGCATGGCTGCTGCTCGTTATGGCCGCAGGCTGCACTTGCCACTTGGCAGCGGCTGCAAATGCCAGCCCATAATTTATGCGTCGCTGCAGCACTAGCAGCAGCAATCATCACAACACCAACAACTACAACAACAACTGACTGCACTCATTGTGTGAGCGGGAGGGCAAGAGTAATGACAGACGCGATACGATACGATAAGAATTGGAATTGATATGCTGCCTAGATTGAGATTAAGATTAAGTTGAAGACTATTGCAAGATTACTGTTTGCTCATTGAAATTTATCTCCTTTTTACTTTCACACTCACATATAGAGTGGCAGCACATTGCATGCTCAGCTAGAAATCTGGAAGATGGCCTACGCCGATAGCAGCTATCAAACGGCCGGCAGTCAAATGGAAGCCAGCGGCATTCAGGCGGAGCCCACAGCGGTAACGACCGCTCCACAGGAGACAGCTGAAATGTGGCCTGGGAATTATCAGTTGCAGAACATGGACGAGTGCAATGAGGACAGTGAAGGTGCGTATGACCAAATGAAACAATGCGAGAAAATAATAGAGCAGGAGAAAAGTGTAGGCCAATTTGAATGGACATCAGATAAGCCATAAAATAATGGCTGAAAGCGAAAGAAAATGGCATTGGTTTTCGGAAAAAGGTTTGACAGTATCCACGCAAGCATCTCACAAGCTTCTGGCTTTCCCAATTCAATTAATCTCTAATGAAGCTCTTACACTAATTGGAAGGGGAGCCTTTTATGATATGATGAAAGCACTAGGTGCAGAACCCACTAAAGCGAAAGATAAGCAGAGAGTAGATCTCATATATAGTAAGATGATAGATGGTTAGCGGGAAGAATACGATAGTTTTATAATTGCTTAAAAACAGTATTGATGTACATTTGGATAATAGTTTTGGATAATTGTTAAAATATAGAAATATAATAATAACAAATATCCAGCGCTATGCTTGCAATTTTAACTGCTTTTATTTATTTTTCATTTATGTAGATTGTTTTTTTGGTCTAGACTTACATTTGTAAGCATTTCTAACTTCTTTCGTATTTCGTCTTTCGTCTTTCGCTTACAGAGGACGAAGAACTAGAAACGGCAGCTCCCGTTAATGCAGGCTCAGGCATATCGCAGGCTTTGTCTGTTCGAAGTAACAGTGGAGGTTCCAGCCAGATGCCCGTAAAGCGCACATCAGGCTCTCGAGCTGGTGGTGGTTCCCACATACATCTCTGGCAGTTTCTGAAGGAGCTGCTTGCGGCCCCGCAAGTCAACGGCACTGCGATTCGTTGGATAGATCGAAGCAAGGGCATCTTTAAGATTGAGGACTCCGTGCGTGTGGCCAAGCTGTGGGGTCGACGCAAGAATCGTCCGGCTATGAATTACGATAAGTTGTCGCGCTCCATCCGTCAGTACTATAAGAAGGGCATCATGAAGAAAACGGAGCGTTCGCAGCGTCTGGTATATCAGTTCTGCCAGCCGTACCATCAGTGAGCTTGATCCTGGGCGGTAGCTCAGTTATTTGTCTATTTCTAAGCTCTATTTATTGTAGCTCTAAGTCAGACCAGTACCCACCCACACCCCTCAAATACTCGACTATGCTCGACTAGCTGACGAAGATCTAGCGAGTTGTTAGTTCTTGTATACAGAGAATTTCTAGGCATGAAGGTAAGTTCGTGCATTAGCCTTAATATCTGCTTAGCCCTTGGAGACGAGTCCAAGTTCGTTTTTAGTCTACATCTTAAAACATATTTAGTCTATCATTGATAGGAGAGCCTGTGCCGCTGTCGAAGGTAAGTTCGTCAAGCAGAAGGTCATTAAGTAATTGAAATAATCATAATTTTTGGTGTAATTGGGCGTGTCCAGAGAGCTGCACGTCTTAAACTGCACATATTTGATTTACCGGCGACATCTTTATTCAAATGCTGCCCCTATAATAGTGCCTACCATAGGCTACGTCTGTGCGTATGTGTCAGGGTATTTTAATGTGTTGTTGGCCGCCATTAGTAGCCTGTGGCGAACTTGGCCAGAAGCCAACAACATTGCACGACACGACAAATGCTAGCAGACGAGTCGCAGCAGCAGGTTGGGGCAGTATGAAGGTGTTGCGGTAATTTTAGGAACCATATATCTATGATATATCAAAAGTACGTTCTATGAACAACAAAACAAGCAATCGAAGTTATCATTAATTCTAAGCGTAGTTGCTCTTTGAGAGTGACTCTTTAAACTTTAAATATTTTGCTAAGTCTTCACACTTCCTTGAAAATTTTTTCTCTTTCTACGAAATTGTTTAAGTTAAAAAATTTTTGACGGTTCTAAAATATTGGCTTAAAAAGCTTTTAAATGTATTTATATAATCTTATAAGCATAGCCTTCCTGCTAAAGTGTCTTAACGTTTAAATTATTTGCTGGTGTTGGTTTCATTTAAGTTTATTGCTTATATTATTTTTAAATATGTGTAGCCATTTGTGTTGGGTAGCTTGCTAAGTTAATTTTATTATTTATTTTTCTGTCGCTTTATTTATATAGGCGCTTGAAAAAAGAATGATTTGCCATTGTTGCAGCATGTGCAAAAGTTAATTGTTTTGCCTCTATTTGCATTAATTTTGCAGTTTTAATTTAATTATGCAGCTCCAGTAGGCTGCCTTGTTTTTCATAACAATTTTTTACTTGCGTTAAGGTTTTTTATTCGAAAAAAAAAACACATACATACATTATTATGATTATTATATAGAAACGATGATATTGTTTGTTTGCTTGATGTTGAGGTTTTCATTTCCATTGTGCATACTAGCGATGCATACATGTATTTATTAAATGCAATATATTTATTTATTTATTTAACTACCATATTGTCATGATGAAATGTTCGATAATAAAATGCTGTTTAAAAACAATTCCTTTTCTTCATACTAATGTACTCGTAGTGTGTGGGCTCCGTGAACCGCTAAAAATCAGTGCTGGCAGGTGTAAGTGGTTTTCCCAAAGGTAATTGTTATATTGTACAAATGGTTGTACGAGGATTGCTGTGATTGTGCAAATGAACATACATGGATAATATGAAACATAAAAAAAGAAATAAATACCTGTTTTTGATTAAAGTTGTACATAAGTGTACAGATTAAACCCACTAGAAAAAAAACGAATTTTTGCTGTTGCAATGTGGAACCGCTTACGTTTTAAGTATTTTTTTTTAGTCAATTAATAATAAATTGTTGATTCTATTACAGTTGATTTAAAAGAAAATTACAAACATGTTGCACAAAAAAATATTGTCAGTTTTTGAAAAACCGCCAATAATAACTGATTCGGCGCAAAATGTTGACATTGTAATCCAGGAATTCTTGAGTGCTCTAAATGGGTTTGGGTAAAGAAATTCTGCGGGAACGAATAAAATAATGTACCAACACGAAAAATATAAAAATTTGAGGGCTCAACAAAGTGCAAGTGTCTCGACGGTCCAATTTATCTTTCTACTATGCCGCAGACTACTATAGTGCACCGATTTTGATGAAAGACACTGCTTATGGTTTGTATTAAGCTTCCTATATATTGGTGCTAAGTAGGCCAAAAATTCTGCTACACCTCTCTTCGTCTGTTACGTTCATTTCGGCTTCAGACCTTTTAGTAAGCTCTTGCATTCATCAAGTACATACAAAGTATAAAAAGGGAACTCTTGGAGTTAATAAAAAATTATGACGATTTTTACTAAGAGCAAAGTATACATCAATTGGGCTATTCTTTAGTGTTTGATTATTTAAAACTTGACACCTGAACTATGAAAACTTTTTATACGTAGATTTCGCAAAAGAATATTGAAATACTATGTTATTTAAGAAAAATAGGTACGCATTAAATTAAAAGTACAAATAATTATATATTGTTTCCAAAAAGAAAAATTGGTTCAGAAATAAAATGGTGAGAAATGTGCTCTCGTAAGCAGTTTTTCAATTATATTATATTATATTTTTTTCACAGTCGCCACATAGCCTCACACACTACTGACCTGCAACTGTTGATTCACCCCTCGAAAATCTACTCAATTCCATTTTAGATTGCCTTGCCTGTCAGTCAGACATTGCATTGATGTGTGACCGTGTTTGCTGCTATTTTCATTCGCTTCCGAATTTTCAATCAGTGCAATACCATATGGGCTTCAATGGTCTGACAGAGTGACAGACATGGCCAAATGGACAACGCAAATAGTTGAATAGTTGGTATAAAAAGAATGTGGTGTGGAAAAGGGTGGAAATATGTGTTGTTAGTTAGCTCTTAGGTACGCAACAATTCAGCTATGCAAAATGTGTCTGACTGAACGAACGCCAATTCTATAAACAGAATGCCGGATCTTTAACAAAAAGGTAACTAGAAACCCGATCATAAGCGTTCCATGTGCCTTTGCATATGCAGGAGTGTTGCTCATATTCACGCTCCTGCCCACAACAATAGAAAGCAACATGGTTACGAATATAAGGCTGTATGCATTGAGTCGAATCGAGTTGGCTTGCGCATTGCCTGGCTAAGATTATTTTAATTCGCTCGAATGAATTTATCGTCTTTGTTGTCGTCGTCGTCGAAGAAGAAGTCGTTGGCATCCTCAGCGTATTTAACGTCCTCATCGTTCTCAACGTCCTCATGGTCGTTGTGCCCAGGCTCGAGCTCAGCCCGTGTGCCGCTTCATTTAAATACTAAATCGCATTAAATGCCATCAAGTGGAAAATTCCCAAAAGCAATAAATTCGTTGCACAGCTCACTCCACCTATCTCTGTCCACATCCTACAACTACGTCCATTTGCTGCGCTGCTCGTCCTTGTCGCTGTCGCTGTCACTGTCGCTATCGCTGTATTCAGTCTTCCGCCTGCTCTTACTTTTTGAGTGAAAGCTTTATATTGCTTACGTTCTACAATATTTGCATTATAGCTTACAGCCAAGCGCCACTATGGCGCTTTCTGTTTATCCTTAGCCAGCAGTCGTTCTTATGCCACCGCTCAAGTAGATGTATGTATATCTGGGTGCGTATGTATGTGTTCGTATGGATGTCGTTGGCTTTGTTTTTGTCGTGCGCTCGTTTGGCTTTTTTGTCTGTGCCTTTCAACTACAAAGACAAATATTTAATTGAATTAGTGCAGCTACTGTTAAGCAGACAATGCACTGCTCTCCCAATCCCTCTTTTCCAGCACCTCAGTCTCACCCTCGTATCTATTAAAATTTGAATTTTGTGTTTGATTCATCAACAGGTTCGTTAAGATGCCAGATACGGCAAAACGTTTATGCCAAACAATCGTTTGTAGCCGATGATGAAAACTGAAAACACAGCAGACAGCAGAAAAAGGAAATATTTATGCGTAAATTAGTGCTTGCCTTTTGTTGATCCATGCTCAGTTACACCTTTTATGCGCCGGTTTCATTCTTATGCTAATTTGTCAATTGCAGGCTGGCCAGGCTGGCCTGTGCGTCAACATCTACAGCATTGCTGTTGTTTGAAAAGTCTGATCTTCCTTGTCTTGTCCTGTCTTAAATCCAACTGCTGTAAAATGTTGATAATTATGCTTCGTTTGTGCGAACCCTTTTTGGCTCACTGGGCGTCTTGCCAACTAAGCCATAGTTGCCTGCCAATTATGTATGCCGTAAAAATAGCCCACGCTCACGCTTGCGTTCACTCTTGCATGCTCTTTCAATTAGCATAATTGGTGACATAAGCGACCTCATCTACCCATCTATCCTTCCCCAGTCGCTGCGCTGTCACCTTTCGATATACTTGTATCAAAAGGGCAATGCTAATTAAATGCCGCGTCGTGTGCCTAATCAATTAAGATTTTCCAACATTTTGAGCAGAAGCGAGCGCGAAAATTGAAGTCTACATTCTACATTAGACTAATTTAACACATAAATTGCCAAGCTGTATATACTATATAGTACTTGTGTATGTGTGCCTAAGTATGTGGGTGTGCATGTGTGTATATGTATGTGCCCCGAATACCAAAATCGTTCTGCACGCGTCCGGGTAAGTGAAAATTCAATTTAAATTGATGTCGACTTTGCTAGCAGGCAGGCATATACGAGTAGTCAGGCAGGTGCAGGCCAAGCAGCAGTTGAATTCGAAAGCCAAGTATATGCCATTTAAGTTAAGTACCTTGGCCACACATATACACACTCTCATACATAAGCAGGCAGACTACTCGTACCTAACCAAGCTTGTAAGCAGCACAAAAAGGTGGCTGCCGCCGTTTGTGGCCACATAAAATAGCTAACAAGTGGTCGGGCTTTTGGGTCGGTTGGTGGCAGCTCTGGCCAGCCCAGGGCCGGCACGTCTGCCCATGACTGAAAAATCAACGCAGATGCCGCTAAAACAGCAACAATTTTAAAAATTCATAAAGAGACAAAAACAGCAGCAAGTCAAGTTGTTTGCCATCTCACTATACACACACACCTACATATACGTGTATACAAAACACTTGGTGCTTGGGCCACCTTAATTTTTCAAGTGTGTTTCAATTTTTGCACTTTGCTTCCTGCCTGTCTTTCTGCTTGCCTGTCTGTCTGTCTGTCTGTCTGCCTGTCAGTGGTAATGAAATTACAATTTTTATAGGCCAAGTCATGAAAAATAAATGAAGCTTAAGCGCATTGCAAGGCCAGGTCTTGCTCTTTCAATTCGATCCCAGTCAAAACTAAAAAATCCAGCGCACTTATAGAACACACCCTTAGTGCTCCAACCTCTCTGCGACATGTTCAACAAGTTCGTTTCTTGGCATTTTCCCTGCTCACACGCACAAACAGACATAAATATCAGTAGCCCCAGTAGCAGTAGTAACCTTTTCGTGCTTTTTTCTGTTTGCTTGTTGGCACTTTTCAATTAACTTAAAAAAGTTCTAACATTTCGGTTGCTTTGCATTTGGTCGGATTGCGGCACTCTAAAGGGCACTTGGGGCGGACTGTCCTAAGGGGTAGGTTTCCTGCCACCGCAGGAAAGGCCACTGCCTACTGTTAAGTGGCGCAGTTTAACAATTTTTAAAATGAAATTTATGTAGCATACTTTTGCGGGCAGCATTTCGTTAAGTGCACTTGATTTTAGCATAATCGATTGCTGAGCTTTCGGCTTGCTTAAATGTAAGCTCAGAAAAAACATGTGTATTTATTTATATATGTTTATATATACATATATAAGTATGTATGTCTGTGAACGTGTCTCCATGCGTAATATACAATGAGCTTTAACATTTAGCAGTAACTTCGACTGTCTGTCTCTCGAAGCCCCCCGAGGCGAGTCAAATGCGTAATACGCAGAACTAAATTGCAATTTATTGGATTATAACCGTATGAATGTGCATGCGTCTGTGTATATGGCAGACAATAACCGCATTATGCCGAGTTTATTACACAACTCCTGCCACACTAACTCACTTTACTGGTCAACATCATGTTGAGTATTTGATTGAATTTAGTACAAAAATTTATTTGGCTGCTCGACACGTAAAGTGACGCATTGGAAAATGCACGACGTACGGTTTTAATTAGTTGTGTGTGCGTTATGTGAAGGGTTGTGTGTCACATGGCATTTAATTTAATCACGTGCATAAAGCGTTAGATATTTGTGCGTAGTATTAGCATTACCATTAGAATTGCGTATACGCCTCGTGATAGCTAGAGATGTGCGCGCACATCTTGAAATCAAATTTGTATTGATTTTTACGTTGTTTCTACTTAAAATATTTCGTTAAAAAATACAAAATATTTAAATGTACCTGTTCTGTTTTGTAGTATATATTACAGTGCAAATTATTCAATATAAATCTTTTATCCTAGAGCAATATCATT